ACTGTACTTTCACTAAGCTAAATGTTTATTCATGTGGAGTTACTTTGTTACTTAGTTGTCTGGGATTTTGGATATTTTCATCAGCATCTTTGGCTATTTCTCATGTTCTTGTTGTACACATGCATGTCTCCTCAGACAACTGCTTGTTCATTAACAATTTTTAATTCCTAAAAGAATTTTTATGAATGCATCAAAATGAAAGGTTGTGCTATTATATTTGCTCATATGCTCATTGTCCTAAAATGTATCTGTACAGCCACATATGTGTGTGCAGTCACATGGCTGTGTAGCATCTTTAAGCAACAACTTCATCACTGAATATTCTTTTCTAGCAAAAAGATGCTCACAAACAAGGCTATGCATGCACCAAAATGAAAAATGGAATTGCTATATGAACCCAAGCATAAGAAACCCTTCAGCATCTACCTTATATCCAGTCAGCGAAAGCAATCATGGTTTGAAGCAAATTCATTACGTCAGAGTTATAAAACTCCACTGTCTTCTTTTAGATAACTAATGAATTGCAACATTAGTAGGTCAAGAAATGGACTCTCTAGTCCTATCTATGGAGGATTAATATGTGAATTTCATTGAGAAATAGAATTTGTGACTGCATTTCAACATCACTGGTTATTTCCTAAAAGACCTCATCTGTATTATAGAACTTTTCCATGGCTAAGTATGGAGCTGTTTTATTACACTAACAGTTGGTTTGGCATTTGTATATTTAGAAAATTCATGTCATTTTTGAGATATTCAACCACTGTTGTGGATCATCATGCTATCATAAACTTTTGGTTATTACTTCATTTAACTTGGAAATTTTGACTTATTATCTTATGAATTCTACATGAATGATTAGGTTGTTTATCTATCATTCAATTATTATTTCTAGCATGGCCTTTTCACTTGTGTTGCTGGTCCTTTGCATATTGGAAGTTAGAACAGAGGCATATCGTATTTCTTGTCATTATTTATGAAATGCATGTGATTTTCTTTTGCCACTTCAGGGTGTGGGAAACAATGATGAGAAAGTTCTTGTTCTTGCTGCGACGAACACTCCTTATGCCCTTGATCAGGTTGTTAGCTTAGATTGTGATAATGTCTTGTTGTTTCTTGGGTTGTTCCTTGTGTAACTTATTGGTGCTTGTAACTGCTAAACACAGGCTATTCGTCGACGTTTTGACAAGCGGATCTATATTCCTCTACCTGACCTAAAAGCCAGGCAACATATGTTCAAGGTATTGTGAATAGATACTAACTAATAATCTGGTTCTACCTACTTAGCAGTTTGTTACAGTTCTATGGTTTAAATAGGCGCCAAGGTGCTCAGGTGAGGCGAGGTGAGGCGCGAGCGCCTCAAAGCTAGTTCAAGCTGCACGCTTCAATGAAGCGTTGCTTGGTTGCTCGCCTGAACCCAGGCATCTGGTGCCTTGGACGAGTGCCTGGTTGAAGCAAAGCAATCGAACCAGACTGGTTATGTTGAACACTAGCTTAGTTGGTTCGATTGAACAAACTAAGCTAAATAGCTTTACTAAAGTTGTGCATGTAAACCCTCACCCCCTTGCTCAACCTCGACCCACAAACCCTACATTGTGCACAACCACTGCCTTTGCTGTTGACACTTCCTCTGCCGCTAACGAATGGGTTCGAAGGCCTATGTTTAGTGCGTAGTTCCCTCCACCACCGTGGCTTTCGTGTGCAGCTCCTTCCATCATTGAGGGAGAGGACCACAGCTTCCTCTGCCACCGATGGACACATCTGGAGCTTCCTCCGCTCACGACGTCATCGTCTGCAGCTTTCGCTGTCGTCTGAAGCGTTCTCTGCCGTTACTGTTGTCGTTTGTAGCTTCCTCTGTCATTCCTACTGTCGTCCAAAGCTTTCTCCATTGCTACCGCCACCATCCATAGCTTCCTCCGTCACTGCTACCGTCGTTCGAAAGTTCCTCTGTCACCGTCACTCTTTCCTTCCCCATTTTCCACCATCAATGATTATTTTCTCGTTTCTAACTACTGTTAACAGTGAATTAAATACTATTAATAGTATATTGTTAATTACTATCACCATATAATAGTCCCTATTTAGATTTTAGCACTGCTAATCTCTATTTATTTGAGTCTTTTGATATTTTTGTTATTAGATGGATAATGTGACTTGGTACCTAAGATCTTTTCAATTTATGTCGTATTTTTATTTATATAATCATATTTATTAATTATATTATATGTTTGTTATATTTTAATATTTTAGAGCGTCTCGTTTTGTTCTGACAGACGTCTTGCACCTTGGGCATTTTGGGACCTTGGCGCCTAGTATTTTTTAAAACATTGTTTCATATCTCATTCTCTAGCTTGAATATATTATTACAATTTATACTCATTGGAATATGTAGGTACATCTGGGTGACACCCCTCATAACTTGACTGAAAAAGATTTTGAGTACTTGGCTCGTAGGACAGAAGGGTTTTCTGGTTCTGATATTTCAGTTTGTGTAAGTGGTTTCTAATGGTTTCAGATTCCCCTGGAGATTTAATTTCTTCCTCTCTGAATGCTAATAATCAATGCTAAGTGTCTCTTCTGCCTGTGTAAACAGGTGAAGGATGTGCTTTTTGAACCAGTACGAAAAGCTCAAGATGCTATGTTTTTCTGCAAGACTAGCGATGGCATGTGGATGCCCTGTGGACCTAAACAACCAGGAGCTGTTCAAACCACGTTGCAGGAGCTTGCTGCGAAAGGTCTTGGCACTAAGGTGCATGCGAAATCAGTATTTTTCTTATTTGGTCATTAGGCCATAGCTTAACTTAGCATTTCATGTTTCTTTGGGTGCATAAACAGATCCTCCCACCACCCATCACAAGGAACGATTTCGAAAAAGTTTTGGCCAGGCAGAGGCCCACAGTCAGCAAAGCCGACCTCGAAGTGCACGAGAGATTCACAAAGGAGTTTGGGGAAGAGGGCTAATTGATGTTTGTTGGATTAGTCTCTCGTTGATGTACATTGTAATCCTTGATCTGTATCAGGAGATTGTTCAGGGGCATGAGCCCTGTATAAGTTGGAGCATCGAGGCCGATCTTGAGTATTTACGCATCCGCTAGTTTAAACTACGTATTTGTCCATCTGATCACTCCCAATGTACTAAGATGGAAGTGTATATACATAATGAATGACACAATCAAGTTCCAATCTATATCACCTTGGCTTAATTTTTTCTGCATCTATCTTTCCATGATTGGGTTAATACTGCTTGCAGTCGCTGAATCATGGCTGTGATCAGGCTCTGGTGCAGTTATAATCATTATTTTCTTGCTATTTAGTTTCTAAAATGACCCCTGGAATCCAGGAATGCTCAATGTGATTCATAGTTCCACCTTTTACGTAATATGTCAACATGCTTTTGCTCATCTTGTGATCATGGCCTTGGCTGTCGCACTTCCATTGACCTATTCCAGACACAGCACAGCTGCAAGATCCTGAACCATCATGTCTCCCATTGGCACAAGCAAACAAGAGAACCAAAGCGTGGGAGACGTACAGAGATGAACCAGATTCCCCCATGTCCACTGGTGCTGCTTGCTTCCCTCCTACCCTTGTGCTGAACTTTCCAAATGTGTGCCAAGCACACAGTTCACAACTAGGGCAGAAGTGGGAGAGGGCACACAGAAGCTTGTTACCGGGGTATCAGTAAATGTTAAGTTGGCTTTGTCAAGGGATGGTGGTGGCTGGAGAGGGCCAAAAAGCATCTCGGGTTCCTTCTTTTCTTTTGCCTTTATCTCTGTCTTTGCTCTACTTCACATTGTCAATTGGATTCTATACTGATGCATCATCCCTGCCATTACTAGTAGGTCAACATCCAACCCCATAATACTATTATTCCTCATGTCACCAGACAACGTGATTGCTATTTTGCACTGCTTTTTCTCCCTCAAACACTACTGAATCATTTCACTTCGCTTGACAATATGTCATGGCTATTCTTTAGCCTTTTCTTTTCATCATAGTATGCTGTTGATGTCACTGTTGCGTTGCTAAAGTACTTTTGAGAGAAGGAACATTTGACTCATAGAAGAACAAAACTTTGAGATGTAAAAAATAATTGAACGGACACTAAAAAGAAAAAGGAAGCATGAAAGGCCTACACAAAGACTTATGCTTTCAGTGTTCAAGTCACAAGCTTGATATCAAATCATTAGTATTACAACAAAGTCATCCTGTTGATTCTACTACATCTTCCTTACGTCATGACTTGTGGATATGAGTTGAACATCCAACATTATTTTTTCCACATTGCAAGATGCTTCAGCCTTGAGTTCTCGAGCTCTCTTTGACCATTGGTTTTAAGCTTAGGTAATAAGTAATGGATTCTATGGAGTCAGACCATTGATTAGAGTCGAATTGCTGAAACTATTATTCAGATAGAGCCTACTTTTTTGCTTAGCCATACCTAAAAGCTTCATTAGTTTAATCCTACGTATCATTGGACACCCGATATTGGCCTTCACAATACAAGCATACGTAATAGATTCCACAAAGTCATGGCAAAGACCTGAAAGAACATCTGCGTATGTCATGACATCTGTATATTAATGCAGTAGTGCCTCCTTTGTCTTGCTCAGAAAGTGCCTTGATGCTCTGTTGGCCTTATTGGTCATGCTATGAAACATTGCTCGAGGAACCATTGTTTTCATTATGCTGTCGAAGTAGATGAATTCCCAGGCAATGGATGTGATGCAGCCATGACTGCACGGCCAGGATGGTGCATATGGATAAGATCGAGTTGGGCAGTAGCGGCGTGCGGAAGAAGATTGACTTCTTTCGTCTGGTTTCATGCTTTGGATCAGAAACAGTGTGCTCTTCTTCCCTTCAAACCACATTGCTTTCGATTCCATTTCAGCTCGATTATTATTATTATATTGGAGCAGACGCACGAGGGAAAGATGTGATACGAGACGCACATCCATCTCATTCTGGAGCCAATCAGAAACAACATGGAACAGAACATGTCTAATCACAGTGATACCAAATCGTCCATTGTCGTGTCGTCAACATGCCACCACTGAGCCAAAAAAAACAGAGACATCGATGTCAAAAAGCAGCAGACAGACCTGCTGATGCAAAGGAACCCCAACAGTGAGGCTTTTGACACGCTCTGCCTTATTGCCCTGACGACCTTACTATGTTAATGACCACAATATCAACTTAAATAGGTAGGTAGATAGATAGATGGATGAATAGGCAGATGACATGAGGTAAGGTAGGATGGATTCATGGAGGGCTGTGACTCAGGAAGAGGAAGTGACGATGCAGCAGGGCTCCCAGATGAACAATGGCCTGCGCAGCTGGCTGCACCTGCTCATGCTGTGCAGCAGCTCCTCCCGGTTCCACCGCCTCGAGATGAACAGCAGCTTGTTGTCCGGAGGCAGGTGGCTGTGTGGTGCTCCGTCGAAGCTGTGTTCATCTTGATCTCCGCTGAGGACAGAGGCTAGCACCACTGCAGCCGCTGCTGTGGCGGTTGTTGGCGGGGGCCGTCGCATGACTGAAGCTGCTGTCGGAGCTTGATCTTGGTTGTTGAGTCTGGTTTTGGTGGTTTCGGATTCCGGCGGAAGGTCGACCCTGGCGTTGCTGCTCGGTCGATTGCAGCCGACGAACTTGTTGATGACAAGGGAAGAGCGGAGGACCTTCATGGCGCCGCCGCTCGGTTGCTGGGGTTGTGTGCTCACTGTGACCTCGATGACGGTGCCCCTGTCGACTACTTCCACTTCCTCTTCTTCCTCCTCTTCGTCTTCCCCTTCCTCGTAGCAGTTCTCTTCCCCTTCATCTTCCTCTTCTAACCGTGCGATCTCTGCTACTTCATTTTCTTTGGTTTCATTCAATTCTTCGTCAACAGTTCGATTTTGTTCTTGTGGTTGTCCTGGTTCTGTGCTGTCGGAGGAGGGGTCGTGGAAGGTGGCGTCGATGAAGGACAGGAGGAGGCGGCCACCCTCGCGCTGCGCGTGGAGGTAGTTCTTGGAGGGTACACTGACAGCCTCGACGAGAAGTCGGCCTTCCCGGCGACGGGGCCTCATGTGCAGGCAAGGCCCGCCGTCGCGGCGGCAGATGGACGGCAATGGCGGAGGGAACAGCCTCGGGACTGATCTCCTGCCAACGGAGCCGTGGTAGTTCACTGACGTCAGCTCCTTCCCTTTGCGTTGCGGCACTTCGCGCTCCTCTGCTTCTCTGTTTCGCCACACTCGTCGTTCCTCAATGATCACGAGCTTGCCGTGCACGTCATGGTTTTCTTCTTCTCTCTCCGTCACAACCATCGGCAAGTAATCGACATCAAGCTCGTCGAGGAACGAGGAGAAGTCGTCGGAGCCGGTCTCCGACCCCAGGCTCTCCGTGCACGTCTGGAGGCTCTTCTGGCTCAGCGAGCTCGAAGACCGCGTCACCAGAGGATGAACATAAGGAGCCGGCGAATCGGTGGCAGCCTTCTGCGCCTGGATGGCTCTCCATATGTCGAGTTGCCCGGGCCGCTCCTCATCGTCTTCCACGGCCATCACAGCATCATCTTTACTCTCGTATCGCTCCTCCGCCACCGGCCATTCATACTTCGTCATTTGAAAGGGTGTTTGCAGCACCAAGACCGACATCTTCAGACCACAAAGATGAAGAGGTTTAGCACTACGAAGTGATCGAGAGGATAGACAAGAAGTTTGTAGAGCTGTAATTACCTCAAACAAGGATTGTGAATTGGCTTTGGTTAACGTTATTGAAACTGAGAGAAGAAGGAGATAGAATGACGAGAAGCTGTCCAACTCCTCCGACCACCACGCTCGTCTCAGAAGCAGCGCTGCTGATGAGAAACGAGGGAAGGATAGCAGTGTATTTATGGTAGGAGAAAAAGGCAGGCTGTCCTTCTGTTCCTCACTCTCCCTCCGCAACCTTTTAGCTTTCAGGGCCCTCCATCTCCACTGCTTCCACAGTATCACCCTCTTTTCCTGCTTTAGCTACCTTTTCTTTCTCCTCACTCATTCATTCACTGAGTTACTTCTTAGCCCGTATAGAAATCATACATAGAGAGAAAGAGAGAGAGAGAGAGAGAGAGGGAGGAGTTTTCATGAAGAGTTACAGAGGTCAGACCAACATTTGGCATGCACGTTACTACAGTCATCAAAATCAATCTGCTGCTTCATGAAAAGAGTAAGACATCTGAGAGTGTAGTAATCTCTTTGGAACTTATTTCTCTTATTCTGTGTATTCCCTTGTCTCGTAGAAAAGATTAGTGGAATAGTCTCATAGAATGTTTTTGGACCATTCACAGAGAAAAATTCCAAGAATAAACCCTCCAGCTAATGTTTTAAGATCATTTAAAGTACCTATCGATAGTAGGCTGGAAATCCCATTAATTGGAACAATAGATTTACTGATAGTACAATGAGAATTCCAATCCAAGATTTCCAGTACAGTCAGAGCTCATCAGCACTGGCACGCGTAATAGTTTAGAAGTTGAGTGCCATAGTGAAGAATATTAGCATCCAACTCTACTTTCCCCTTAGCTTTTCCCCATCCATATTCCTTCCCCTTTGATGAATTTTAGACATATGATACTGATGAATTATATATATATATATATATATATATATATATATATATATATTTGTTCTCTCATTCATCTAATCTCATATGGTTTGGAAACACGCATCCGTATATTGGTATATATAGATCACTCCTTTTTGCCGCACGTATGGCTTAGCTTTGGTCGCCTATTCGAGCCTCAAACATACGCATCACGCAGATGCCATTCTTCACAACGCAAGCACCGCTTTGGAAGCAGCAGTGGGTGCATAAACTCCAAGCGGAATGGCACAAAACCTTTTGTCGAACACTTAGTGACACAGTGCTGCTGCATTGGCGTTCAACGAACCAGGCGGAGCCACGTTGAGGGAGACTATTCCGAGCGCGGAGCCGTCGTTCTTCTACGCCCAGTCAGCGGATTCTTGGTCACCGTGGTCCAATCACGGCCCTCCGATGGGTGGAGCTAGGGGAATCCCCATCCCTCGGTTCTCCCGCGGCTTCCTTTCTCCCTCAGCGTGCCACTAGCGCAAGGGGATTCGTTTAGTGGATAGGAGAGTATAATTTGGTGATAAGAAGCTGCGGGTGATGATGATCATGAGACATTCTAACGATGTGGTTGAGGTTTGGACTCGGAAAGGCCTCTCCAATGCTTACCACCTTTCTTCACTTCTCCTTTCCCTCACACTTGGTTAAAGGAAGAGACATGCGACTGTGTGGAGAAAGGGGATGCCTCCTTGCCCCTTTTGGTCAGGTGTTGTGGGCCATTAATGCCCTCTGCAACTTTAATTCCAAGAAAGAACGATGAGGAAGAGAGAGCTTTGGATTCTGAATGAAAGAAATATGTATGGTTGATGATGTCAGTGCAAAGCATGTATGATTAACTCGCTGTATAAAGAATTAAAAGAAATGAACAGTTCTCTTCAAATACAGGAGAATACTAAGGATCAACCTTTCTAAATGGCAGTGTATATATATTATGTGAATAGTGAGCTCCAAAAATTAGTATTCAAAATTAATGATAAAAATATTAATTTTTCTCTACATATATTGTAAGTAAAATGGATCTGTGATTAGCAGAACTGCATGTTTTTAGTAAGCAGATCTTAAAGACCATCAGAAAGATTCAGGTTCTTCCACCTCTTGTGGGCTTAGTGCACCATTGATCCTCCTTACCTGCTCTATCAAGTAACTACCACCACTATTAGATTTGTTCTGATTTAAGGGATTAGAGGAGCTGTTACATCACTTTGTGCCTTGCAAGATCATGTCCTTTTGACCTTCCAAGATCATGTCTTTCCATTAGCATTGCTTAATTTGTAAGAAAAGCATGCATCAAATAGTCAATTTCAAGTATTTATTTAGCAGATATAAATATATATATATGTGTGTGTGATACATGAGTTCAATTTAACCAGACAAAAAGCATCAGTCTTAGTGCACTTGGACTAAAAGCTGCTTAAAATGCAATAATAGATCTATTATATTGGGTCCTGAAAGTTGACCAATCCATTTCTGAAGCTTTGATGAGTTCATCTTCACCACACAGCCCACTGGATATCAACACCAAGCAAGTTTTAAGTGAAAAGGCATCCAACAAGCACTAACACTCCAAACCTTCGCCACCAAGTTATTGTGCCTCTCGGCATTTGCGGGTGAGTGCACTCTCGTGAGAATTGCCTCCGGCATGCAGTCCAGCAAAGTGTCCACCATACATCACGGACAAGGACTTGAGATCCAGGCGGGATCTCCTGTCCTTCCTCCCCCTCACATACCATCCCCATTGTGAAGCCCTTTTGAACCGATGAGAGAGAGAGAGGGAGCGAGGGGAAAGCCAGAGAGCACTGAGATCGTCCTGTGGAGTAATCATTGTCGAGTGACCCAACACCTGGTCTGAGTTCTCGTCCGCCTGACGTAGTCGAGAAAGGATGGCGAGTTGGTTGGGTGTTGTCGGGCACTTGGATTGCATTTGTCGGTGGTACGGATGATGCAAGAGAGAGGACCTATTGATTTCTTGATCTGTTGATGGCCACGGCTTTGTTCGGTGGTGATGAACTGAGCCAGCTTGGGAATGGTTGGAAGTACATACCAAGTTAGCTAGCAGCAGCAGCAGCTGCAACATCAGTGTTTTCGAGTGCTTAGACTGGACTTCAAGTTTCTCTCTCTTTAAATGGCTCTGAGAAGATGAATGCATGTTAATGTGATCGAGCATTGGTTTTATGGGAGTCCACTGTGCTCCTCACTGGGCTTTCAACTCTGAACAGTTGTAGGCTCAACCATGACCATAAGAGAGACCAGCAGATTAAAACCATTGATTTCTTGCTTTATATGACAAGTCAAGCTCTCATTTTTTATGTTGAGATGTTGCACTCTGATAGTTTCTTGAGTGCATATAATCTTACATGCATAACAAGAAGAGATTAAATGGTCCAAAAATGTGTTTTGTATTACATAGAGTTCACACCTAACCATAATTTAATTGGTCGAGAGAAGGAGATTGGGTTTGAAACCTTGGAAACATTGCAGTTTTGTAGCTGCAGAATCTGCTTAGTTCACTGCGCAGGGGATACCCATCAGACTCAAGCCCAGTGGTCTTACGAAAATATAGCTATGTCAAGAAGAAGAAGAAGAAGAAGAAGAAGGTGAAGAAGGTGATGATGAATGCATGCTTTGGTTTTATGAGAGAAATTTGTTACTCTAATCAATGCCATACTATACTCACCCTAGTCATATTAAATATTGAATGTAGGATTAAACTTGTGAAGTCATATTTTTAGCTCTATGGTCATCTAAGGTTGAACAATTATATGCATAATGTTAGTTAGTATATTGTCAATAGTGTGTCATTCCTTACGAGTTATATAGCATTGGTTAGGCTGAGCCTCCCTGCCTAGCGCTAACTTGTTGCTCAAGTCATGACCTGAGTTGTGAGGCAAAGCATATCATCACATATTATACTCCTAGAGATGCTTAATATTAGCAAATATATAATTAGTTATTCGTCACTCATCTCAACACCACATAAGACCCATAGGAAGATAAAAACTTAGGAAACCCAATACCCTCATGCTCACATGGATATGGATAAGAGTCTAAAAAGCAACTTGGGTCAGTTACCAAGCTATCTCTCCCGTGGAATATTCGTAGGAATATTTTCAGAAGTCTAGAAAGCAGTTCAGGTCGATTATAAACTACCTTATATAAGAAATATTCATAGAAATATTCTCGGAAGTCCATGGGGCAATTTAGATTAGTTACGAACTACCTTCTTTACAGAATATTTGCATGAATATTTTTAGAAGTCCAAGAGATAACTTAGAGTTGGTTATGAATGCCTCTCTTATGAAATATTCATAAGAATATTCCTGAAAGTCCAAGGGGCAACTCAGGTCAATTACGAATTACCTTCTCTATAGAATTTTTATGGGATATTTCTTCTCCTATATAAAAATGTACCATTAACTCCAGATTAAGAGAGAAAGACCTCGATACTAACTTAAGCATCGGAGGGATTAATTCGGGAAACTCTTCCCAACCTTGATCTTTGTATAGGTAATGAGTCTAGAAAGACTATGCTATATTCCGAAGGATATGTTGTACCGACGAAGATATCAATGATAGTTTTTCCTAATATTTTAGTGCTAAAAGGGGAGCTTAATATCATAGGAGTGTCCATAGGCCGACCTGGTCCATGAACATTCGAATGAGGCTCTGCACCCATGTTACTTTTACTTAAATAGGGTAGTAGTCGCACTTTCCCCATATACATATATCCATCTCATCGCGAGTACCAATGTAGTTCTAGTATTCATTCAATGACCCTAGACCCTAAGCCATCTACTTATTTCTGCTAAGGTATTTTTGAACCTCACCTAGCAAATGCAAGTATTAGTCGGTATAATAAATGTTATTATCTCGCTTCTACCTCGGTCAAACCAACGGGTGATGCCACCGCCTCAGCCACCATCGATAATTTAGCAATCACCAACATCAATGTCTGCTAGGGTCCTCCCTCTCGATGAATTGGTAACATCTTACGGGCATCCAAAACCTATCAAGCCATTGGTCAAGGGAGTGCCTCGCTCCCTGACCGTAGAATTTAGTAGGCTGCCCCACCATCACTCTGCTTGAATTCGAGACCCATGATTCAACAGACAACTCTCTCTAGATTCAACTACAGTAAATGGATCGACACTTGAAAGAGATGCATTATGACTTTCACCAATGTAGGGGTGATGGGCGAATTGAATCCATCTCGAGTCAATTATCGTTTATTCAGGATATTCAGGAAGAGTTGATCTTCATTAACTTCCACCTTCTATCAATAGAAACCTTTGACGGTGCCACTGACCTAATGGAGCATGTCGCTACCTTCTGGACTCAAATATTATTGTATAGTACTTTGG